CATTCTTATTTGTATGTTTACAATGGCATTTATTTTATTTTATCTTATTTCCTTTATACTTGATATGGTCAATAGACTAAATCAATAAAGTTGAAAGAAAGGTAGGGCTGTGCAATGCTTTGGACTGGATTTGGAAAAGGTGCCGAAGTTATACTAGTGAATGTTTCAAAGCCCTTTTTTGGAACTGAATTGCCCAGCTCACAGCAGCCATGGGGAAGCAGAGTTAGTCCAATCCCTACCCTACACAAGCTTCGATCATTTTCCCAACTCCCAGCTATCATCTCTAGGCACCCTCACTGAAAAGGATCAAGACTGGGTGACATCATATATACAGCAGTCTTATAAAATTATACATAATGTGAAGAAAGAGGAATCTTTGCCTCCTATTTTTTCCCCACAGCAGAGCTGAAACCTTGAGGAATTCAGAAGCACAACACACACACACACACACACACACACACACACACACACACACACACACACGCTTCACTCAAACTGAGCCTTCAGGTTCAAGAGTACTGTTCTGCTGGGGAAGAGAACACGGAAAGGGAACTACTGTATTTCTGCACTGTCTGTGGGATTCTCAGCCATGACCTTGTACGGACGCTGAATTACAAGTGCCTTTAATCCACTTGAACCCAGCTACTGCAGTTAGGACAAAACTTTGGCAAAATAAATAAATGAAAGTGTTTTCCTTCAAAGCGTGAAAGAATAAATTAAATGCAGGCTGTATGAGTCATGTTTGCATTTTCTATATATCGAAGTAGAGACTATTAAGGTCAACCACTTATTCTACAGTACACACCATTCAAAAGTAGGTAAAGTGATGCTCATAGGAACAAAAACCAAAGGTGGTCATCCTTGACAAAGGAAAAAATCCCCCTGCCGAGAGCCAAGCACTGCTATTTCATCTGAAATAGCGCTTTGCTTGAAGCATGTCAGGTATGAAATAATGTTCTTCACAAATAACCACTTTTCTCCAGGATTGATGTCTCTTTTTCTACAATAATTTTTTGCCGCAGTTTCTAGAAGAGGCAAGTGTACCCAAACTGACAGCCTGCAGTTTTGGTGAGAAATGTGTAACACCCAGAATTCTCAGTTAACATGGTCAGTTGAACTAGAAAGTGAAACTAGCTCTTAAGCTCCCTACCACTGCAGTGTGGAGGGTCATCTTGAAAGATTAATAAGAATGCCTGCACTGGAGGTTGGATCAGTTCTGTTTCCACAACTGTTCTTCTCCCTTTCAATCCTCTGCCATATGTGTAAGGCCTATCAGGGGAAAGTCAACTTTCATATTATTAAAGGAAACATAGATATTTATTCTTAAGAAAGCGTTTCGTAAGGGAGATCAAGGGTGCCACTTTGCAGCTGGTCTAAAGCTCACCTTCCAAAAGTACAATGCCCTTTTTGATGTCCTCATTGTATTTGCTGCGGACCAGGCACCAAGCATACTCAAACTGTGTTCCTTTGGAGACGCCGCCTGCATTCTGCTCAGAATTAAACTTCTTCTCGAATCTCTGGAGAACACAAATGAGAAAGGTTGGAGGAATGGAAGGGAAGTCCACCATCAGACTGCAATTACCAGTACCCACCATTGCCAAGATCATCTATTCTACACACACACAGGAGATTTCCTTATATCAGCTTATATAATTTGTCCATTATGCCCAATATTAATTACCCATATCACAGCAGCTCTTTAGCCAGATCTCTCTCCTTGCTTTGTACAAGAGCCTTCTGCAATGTGATACCTTCTAGCTGTGATCGGTAAGTAAACCCATAAACTTCAATAGGTCCATCTGCTGGCCAGGCTAGAAGAGACTTCTGGAAGGTACCACCCTGGGAAAGGCTTCACTACTGGAACCTTATTAAGCAGACTAAAAAAGAAACTTATTTTGGGGACAGCATCCATTCTCATGGAGTTATGGTGCTTACAAGGAAGAACGTCTGACAGTCTGTCATTCCTTTCAAAGTATTGATCCCAGAAAGTTATCACGAAGACAAAGCAAGATGAATGGAGGTTAATTCTTTGGCATTGTTATCTGCCATTTCCCCCCAAGACTTGCCAGCTGGCACTGTATGCCTAGTGTATGTTTGCAGTGTGGGGTGCCATTCCAGAACAAGGGTTCACTTCTCGGCAGCATATTCAACAGGGACAGACCCTCCTGGCCATAGAACCAAACGGCACTAAAACATGGCCTGCTGAATTTCTGCCTGTACATTAATATGTAGAAACCAAATAGCATATGCAGACTAGCTAATATTACAAGCCTGCTCAAAAGCAACATTTGTCTTCCTAGAAGTCAGTAAGAAGCCCATCTTAGATTTCAAATGAGAATAAAAAAATTATCTGAGACGGGGGACAGGAGTGAAAAATTGCACTGACAGTACAATTTTGCTGTAAGGAGGCAGGAAAAGATTGGGGAAAAAGGAAAAAAATTCCAAAGTGCACAAAACCATTCAGAAAGGGATATAATAAACAATAAAAGGCAACAGCAGAAGGCATGCTACTGCCTCAACTGCACCAAAGACAGGAATATATTCTAGGACTAAGAGGCATACGCTACAAAAATCTGAACAGACACTACATGGTAGCAAGTACAGAGTACCAACCTTTCCTGCCATCTTAGAGGCTGTCCAGATTTTTACAGACTTAATCTGACAGCCCTAATACGTATGAACACACAATAAAAGAAGTAACCAAAGTCACAATCAGCTATATTCATCCACTGTGTTCCCTAAGTGAACCACAATGAACTGGGCTCCAGATGCGTTGGACTTGACATTCCCAGAATTCCCTAGCTGATATCCACCACTGTGAATTCTGGGAGTTAAAGTCTGGAGGATTCCCTATCTGGAGAAAGTTGCACCAAGCTAAAGCCCATGATTCACAAACCAGAATAGCTGGGTTCACACCCTACTCTGAGTCAGGACCAAGCAAAGCATATTATAGATTTGGTGAAAGACAAAAAGTGCAGTGGCAGAGGGGACAAACACTCCCCTCCACCATAGTAGTGGGAAATATGAACAGAGACTCTCTTTTTCTGCCATTAAAAAAACTGTGCTTTCCTGTTGCCCTTCTTGGGCAGGCAGGCAGATGTAACTTGACAGCCCCCCAAAGCAGGTTGGGTTTTTCATCCGTGGAGCCTATGAAAAATAATCTCAGTGTCTCTGCACCCTCTACCGAGGAAGAAAAAAACTACAGCTTCCTCATTTTTCAGTTTTGTGGTTGGAACTCCTCTCCCCAAAAATAAAATAACATAAATAGTTAGAGAAAGAAAAACTAAAAAAACAAAAGTGGTCCATCTTACTCTGGGAGGGCAGTTCTTCATAGCCTGCAGATGGCTTTGGATATTCTTTTAGCTAATTATAATTTCTCACCTCCCCACTTTTAGCATGCTGTGCAATTCTCACCGCCGTGTTAGAGCCCAGGTACCCCAAGACAATAAGCAGAAAAGTGAAGACAAGTCTGAAGCTGCAAAACTGACTGCATGACTCTAGGCTCTTCATTTTCTTTTTTGGCATAACTTACCACATGGGGCCCTTGTGCAAATAAATTGTGGGGAGAGGAAGAGAAACACATCACGTACAAATGTAATAAATTAAGGCTAAATGTAACACGCACCGTAAGGACACTGTTCTCCCAAAGAAGCCTGTGCACCTTCTCTAACTGGGAGAGAAATTCATGCTTTGCAAACTTCCCCTCTTACTCCACTGATCTGGAACCTAAACAGATGAAAGAAACTATTCCTTGCAACTAAAGGAGGACTGGAAATCAGTTATCTTTCTAAATCGAAGAGTTAACTGCAAATACTTTCAATTAATGCAGAACAGCACAGGTGCATGTTTTAAGATCAGAGAACACAGTGACTCCCTTGAGGGTACTGCTGCTTCAATGCATGGAGTGCCCAGCAAGAACACAACATTGTCAGAGAAAGAATGGCTCCAACAAGAACAAGCTCACCAACAAGATCTCTTATGAAACATTATGCAAGACTGCAGAGACAAAAGCACACAGGGACATCAGTGCCTGTGACTGTACTGTCAGGAACAAAACACTGATCTTTTGTCTCCTGCCAGCTGTCTGAGCTGGTCAGGCCAACAACTGCAAGCCCAAGCAGAAGATAGCTGCCACAATGAAAAAGAATCAAAGGGATTTCCCCCCCCCTTCACATGTATGAATGTCTTTTTGACCTCAACAGTGGGGAAAAAAATGTTAGCTATATTCCTTTTGATAAAGAAGTGAGTTTTGAAAGCCCTCAGGCACAGCTTCTACTCACTTGGTGAGAACATGGTGACCTTTAGTGGAGAGATCACTGGGATGGCCAAAGACCAGGTGTCACGTCACACAAGCCTGCTTGAAAACCCATGTTTCCTAAAAAAGTACACACTCAAAATGCCCTTTGCCCTAAAGCCTCCTTTTAATTCTGTTTTTATGGAAATGGGAACCTATTTAAACAACATTGTAATTGCAACACCATCACTTAAAGGTCTAGAAACACTTAAGTAAAGCCAAAATAAACCTTAATAGTACATTGCCTCTTGAAGAGAAAGAAGCCCATAGGACTTCCTATCACAAAAATTGGCAGCCAGCTACCTCTGGGCCTACACAATTTTGTATTTGAAGTCCAAAGGCAATGACGGTAGATCCAGTCCTTCTAATAAAAAGGATATTCTCTTTTGAAGTGAGCTCAACTCTTAGTTCATGGACTTCATGTACACATCCCTGTGGCTTTCTTGATTCCCCATGAAGCCCAACTTAAATCTTATACAGCAATCATGGCAGCCTACAGTTTAGTTCAGTGTTTCTCAACCTTGGCAACTTTAAGATGAGTGGACTTCAACTCCAGAATTCCCCAGCCAGCCATGGGTGGAATTGAAGTCCACTCATCTTAAAGTTGCCAAGGTTGAGAAACACTGGTTTAGTTAGTTCACCTTGTTTTACTGAGCAATTTCAGCATACATAATATAAAGATAATACGCAGTACCAAAATGAATTCAGGAGTAAGCAATTAATAACCTTTAGATGTTCTGGACAATTCCCACAATAATCTGCCAACTAGCTGGGGCCGTAGGACCTGAACTGAAGAGCGAGAATAATATAGTACTTAAGATTTTGGACTGGCACTGGGAGACTCAGGTTCAAACATACACTCTGTCATGAAAACATACTGGGTGACTTTGGGCCTGTTACTTTCTCCCAGTCCAACCTATGACACACGGTTGTTGTTGGGAAAATTTAGAGGAACAAAAGCTATGTAGACCACCTTCAGTTCATGTTCAGAAAGGTGGGGTATAAATCTAATGCGTAAATAAATACAAAACATTTGGAAAGCACCATGAGGCATATTCTTGAGCTCACACACTCAATGATTGCAAGCATCGGTCATATTTCTTACAATGTAGTGAGAGAATTAGCCTTCAGAAACTCTTCTGAAAAACAATCTAAAGCGGAACATTTTTATATACTGTATATATGCTGGGCTATAAATAGTTATGCTCATATTGTAAATACAGTACTCAATAGTTCACCGAAATAATTGGGTGCCCCCTAGTGGAACTGTCTCACTTCCTACTTTTTTAAAGCAAGTTTTAACATTCAGGCTCACTGGATTTTGTCCTGCTTAAAATTGGGCTGAATTCTTCAAAAAAAAAAAAAAGCCAAATTCTCAATGTCATTCTGATCAAATTCAGCAGGTAAAGCTCTTTCCAGCATATAACCCATCATGCAGTATCTGCCTACTCTGTAGCAGGAGCAGACTATGAGCAAATATAAGGCCAAATTGAGTACCGCAAACATGGTTGAATACAGGATAATTTAAAGCTAGGCTTTGGAGAACTAACCAGTTGGAGCATGCTACCTAGGAAGATAAATCTCTCAGTTTGCCTTTATCCTGTACTCCATGTTAATTTCTTTCTATTCCATTCAAGAACAAAATGGCAAAAAAACCAAACCAAAACAACAATTCTTAGCGACCCTATTCTCCTTTCAGTAACTAGGATTCAGCTAATCCGGAATATCCCAAATCTCACAGGCAGGAATTCCGGAGACTCTCCACTATCTTCTGAGCACTATTAAAAGATACTGCTTTTGACCTCTAATAATTATACAAGCAGCTATTATTCTTATTTGGCTGCTCGTGGAGGAGTAAGAGACCTGGCGCTCTCCAATTTATTTTTCACTGTACAATTCCTGTTTGCAGTGCACTAGCCAAGAAAGCACATATTCGCACTGGTGCAATGTGTGAGGAAAAATCCAATGTGAATTGACATGCTGGCCCTAAACCCTTTGCAACATGTAGGAAGGACATGACAGACATAGAGAGGCTTCCCTAGTCTTAAGCAATTAGCAACTTCTTCAGAAAAAGCAACTATAAAAAGAAAAAAATGCATATAAAATGCTAGCAGAGACAGATGGAGTTAAACACAGTTTTGTTGTATTTTTGGTATATCGTTGTGCACGTTATCTCTTTTCAATTGCACCATACTGAAATGCAAGAGTCAGGAGAATCTGGACATCATTTTTGCACCATACCTAGCAGGGTACACATTACATGCAATGTCAACTATCAGGAGTGACATGTTTAGTTCCCAGGCTGAGTACTTATCAGTTGTCAGAAAGCTGATTAATCACTGACATTGATCTAGACCTGCCTCAGCATATGCATTTTGGTCCAAGCAAAGCAAGAAAGAAGAAAAGAAAGAAGAAAAAAGAAAAGAAAAAAAATCCCTCATCTGTCTCCACTAACATTTTATATGCATCTTTTCTTTTTATAGTTCTAGGCTACAAGGGAAAGGGCAGGTTTGATTGAGGGAATGCTAGGTGCTGACTTTTTCTAAAGAAGTTGCTAAGTGTTTAAGACTAGGGAAGCCTCTGCATGTCTGTCATGTCCTTCCTACAGGTTGCAAAAGATTTAGGGCCAGGCGGTCAATTCATGTTGGATTTCTCCTCACTTATTGCACCGGTGCAACAACTTGGAATATACCCCATGCTTTCTTGCACTAGTGCACTGCAAACGGGAATGGTACAGCGAAAAATAAACTGAAGAATTCCAGGGCAGGGGAGGGAGGGGAAAAGGAAAGGAACCAAGGATAAAAGGAAAAAGAGTTCTATGGAAAGGAATAAAGGACTAACCAGATCTGAAGGCCTTGTAAGGGTTAAGCAGAAACATACCAAATTTAACCCTAATTATGCTGCCCATGAGAACATCCAGCCGAGCCTAACCACCAACCGAACTAGGCTTAATCCAAGGACAGCCCTGCTGGAGCCGAAGCCCAGAACTTCCCCCGCCGGGACTGGCTGGAGAAGGACACCCACTCTTCCACACCCTTGCTTTCCGTCTTAGCAGCCAGGGGTAGACTGCTCCTGGACTCGGAGGCTTCCCTCAGCCACGCTGGTTCAAGGACCAGGCAGGGCTCACTTACTCTCAAATCCTCCAACGCCACTACTTCGCTGAGGACCGACTCCATCACGCCCAAACACGGAAGCGGCCGCGAGACGGAAGCGGAAACCCTACCTTGCTTTACTTTGAGGCTCACGAGCCCTCATCTCTATGGTACCTCTTTCGCTCCACCTTTTTAAGCCTCCAGGATTTTCACCAACGCGAGCTTAAGTCCTTGGCTTCTTCTGGTGGACAAACCGGAAACCGGTCGAGCGATAGCTTCCTGCTGCTATGACAACGCCAAGAGCAGGGGGCCAATGGCTAGGCAGCCCCCCTACGTTAGGACTTCAGTTCCCATCAGCCCTTGCGGCTGCGGAGTTCCCATTCGGAACTTCAGGTGGTCTACCTCTGTTGTTTGGGGAGCGGGTAAAAGAGGAGTGCAAAGCATGCTGACTGGGGAATTCTGGGAGTTGAAGTCCACACCTCTTATAGTCGCTGAGGTTGAGAAACACTGCCCTAGTGTAATATAGTGCTTATCTGTGGTGTGGAAAAATGAACTTCAGTCTAGTAGAACAGCACCCAGCAAAAGAGAATAAATCCATTAAAAAGTGGCCATTCACCACCTGACGTTGGCCTTCCTTCAGATACTAAGGATGACACCTGCTTTTTCCTGTCCCTTCTGCAGCTGAAGAAAGGGGCAGAAATCCCATCAGCTTCCATAAACTGAATTAAACATAGTCTGTGAGCAGCAAAGTTGGCTTGTCCTCTGGATTCTTTCTCACCAGCTCCATCTCCTTTCTAGGACAATCTCTGAGATGTGAATACATAGCTCCTGTTTTGCTGCTCCTCGGTCGCTGGTCAAGAAGCTGAAGCCAAAAAAAAAAAGAATCATTCTGACAGCCTAGTCTACCTTTAGCTAAGGCAAACACATCTGGTCCACAAAATGACCTCTAGATGTCTGCAAAGGGAGGCAGTAAACTCTAATTGCTGCCCTCCAGTGAGCACCTGGATTCACGCAAACTAGCAATGGTAGCCCTAGTTTCAGACCTCTGTTACTCTCCTTCTCTAGTTTGGGCCTTGATTCATAATCCTGAAAAACTCCCCAACTTTCTCATTATTTTGTGACATTATGGCCACAACAATAACGGGATTGTCCTGTCAATTTCCCACCCTATATACTAGCAAGGTTTATGGTTTAGCATGGTTTATGGCTTGGCACTGTGTGCAGATACAGCCAATTGTTTATTCAACAAATCATGGTGAAGCAAAACAATTGTTTAAGTGCAATTTGTGAACCTGGTCACTGTGTTACAGTTAAATGATGATGATGATGATGATGATGATGGTTGGTTGCAGAGTCAGCCAAATGTTTAGCCTGGATTTGGCATTTTTATCCACCTATTGAGTCCTTCCCAAAGACCTGGGATAGGCAGATGTTGTTGTTCGATGGTGTTAAAGGGATCGTCGCAGGATATAATCTGTTCCAAGTAAAGCTGCTTTTAGCAATTGACCGATGGTGATTTTGTCAAGGCCGATGGTCTTCAAGGGGTATTCCAGATGGTTTGGGATTGCACCCAAGGCTCCTATAACTATTGGCACTATTTTTGCTTTGTTTTGTTGTTGTTGTTATTATATACTCTAACAAACTTTTCCACTACATTCAGGAGACTAAACTGCAGAGGGTTACAGATGAGCCATATTCACACATCATACTTAGCTTGTTTGGTTCGCTTGACATATGAAGATGTGCTTCCTGAGTCATTGTCTTGAGTCAGCAGTCAAACATGACTCTTATTTAGAGAGGAGGAAAAAAAGTGAACTCTTTAAAAATGTAAACATTTGAATTTGATGTTTGATTTGTATCTTCCTCCTTCCATGAAAACCTCTCGAGTTCACCATTTTTGCGCTCTCAGTATGATCATTGTGCAGTGGTTGACAAGAGTAATATCCTGCACAACAGTTCCCATGGGCAAAAGATTGACCAGGCAGATCTAATAGTCAGGTATGTTTTTCCTTCTTTGAGGGTGATTGGTAATATTTTACAAATAGATGGGATTATAGAAAATGTAGGATTTCTTGGTTCCCTAACCGAATATGTTTTCTATGCTTAATGGCAATAGCTTTGATGAGACTTCCTTCCTATGTAAACTTGTTAAGTATGGGCTGAATGTGTTTCTGTAAGGCAGGTCCACAGCTGATTTGAAATCAGCATCCAAGAGGGTCCTCATTAAGCTGGAGGAAAGCATTCTTAGTCCTGGCCATTTTTATTAAGGATTAAGTGATGGAGGAAATTTTTATCAGATGTGAAGATGAACGAACATTGGGTGGATGGTTACTACTTTAGAGAGTGGAAATAAAATTCAAACCAAACTTAAGGTATTAAAGAAATGGGTTGAAAAGAACGGAATAAAACGTAACAGAGCCAAATGCAAAATTATTTATATGGGAAAAAGGAATCAAATGCAACTCTGTGTCTGAAAAGGATCTTGGAATTGTTATGGACCACAAGCTGAGTATGAGTCAACAATATATCTTGGCTTCTAAAAAGTGGAATTTAGTTTCCAAACCTCAGGAAGTAATAATTCTATTTCATTTTATATTGGCCTGACACCCTCCCTCTTGTAGTAGTGTGTCCCTGGCACCTCATTTAAAAAAAAAGATTTAGACTCCTAACTGGAGCAGGCTCAGAGAAGGCCAAGAAGGATGAGAAGAGAATCAGGGAAATAGCCTTGGAAAAAGATGACTGAGAAGGATGGATATGGTTGTACTTTTTAAGTATCTGAGGAGATGTCACAAAGAAGGTCAAACCTGCTCTCTACTGACACAGAGTCATCATCTTAAGTTGCAAGAAACATGGTTCTGATGAACATCATGAAAAGTTTACTAACAGTAAGAGTAATTTGGTGGTGGAACCAACTATCCAGGTAGTTAGTGAGTTTCACTTCACTGGATGGGCTCAGACAGAGGCCAGATAGCCACCTTTCAGATATACTGTAATTTGGATTCCTACACTTAGCAGGGATTAGATTCATTGGCCTCAATATTCATATGCATGATTTTATGATTTGATGGAGTATATTAGGAATTTATTCATAAGGATGGGTCTTTGTGAATCCTTATAATGCCCATTAAGACAAGCAAACATGATCCTATTATACTTACTCAGAGGTGAGTCTTATTCAGCAAAAGCCTTGTTTTTTTCCCTGCAAATTGCCCTTTAATTTGTCCATTCTGTTGGCCACAAATCGTGGTTTTCAGCCCAGCCCTTTAACCCAATGAAAGACTGGACTTG